ATCCGTCCCTGGATCCCACAAAACCAGCCCTGGATCTCATTAATCCATCCCTGGATCCCACAAATCCGGACCTGGATCCCACAATCCGTCCCTGGATCTCATTAATCCATCCCTGGATCCCACAAATCCGGCCCTGGATCCCACAGTCCGTCCCTGGATCCCACAAAACCAGCCCTGGAGCCCACAGTCCATCCCTGGATCCCACAAAGCCGGCCCTGGATCCCACAAATCCATCCCTGGATCCCACAATCCGTCCCTGGATCTCATTAATCCATCCCTGGATCCCACAAAGCCGGCCCTGGATCCCACAAAACCAGCCCTGGATCCCTCAGTCCATCCCTGGATCCCACAATCCGTCCACTGATCCCATGAATCCATCCCTGGGATCTCACAGTCCATCCCTGGATCCCACAATCCAACCCTGGATCCCAGAAATCCATCCATTGATCCCATGAATCCATCCCTGGACCTCGTGAATTCAACCCTGGATCCCACAAATCCATCCGTTGATCCCACAAATCCATCCCTGGATCCCATGAATCCATCCCTGGATCCCACAAATCCATCCATTGATCTCATGAATCCATTCACTGATCCCATTAATCCATCTGTGGATCTCATTAATCCATCCCTGGATCCCACAAATCCATCCCTGGATCTCAATAATCCACCCTTGGATCCCATGAACCCAGTCCTGGATCCCACAAATCCACCCCTGGATCCCACGAATCCATTCACTGATCCCATGAATCCATCCCTGGATCCCACAATCCACCCTTGGATCCCACAGTCCATCCCTGGATCTCATTAATCCATCCCTGGATCCAATGAATCCATCCATGGATCCCATGAATCCATCCCTGGATCCCACAATCCACCCTTGGATCCCACAGTCCATCCCTGGATCTCATTAATCCATCCCTGGATCCCCCAAATCCAACCATTGATCCCATGAATCCATCCATGGGATCTCACAGTCCATCCCTGGATCCCATGGATCCATCTGTGGATCTCATTAACCTGTTCCTGGATCCCTCAAATCCATCCACTGATCCCATGAATCCATCCATGGGATCTCACAGTCCATCCCTGGATCCCACAATCCAACCCTGGATCCCACAAATCCATCCATTGATCCCATGAATCCATTCCTGGATCTCATTAATCAATCCCTGGATCCCACAGATCCATCTCTGGATCCCACAAATGCATCAATTGATCCCATGAATCCATCCATTGGTCCCATGAATCCATCCATGGGATCTCACAGTCCGTCCCTGGATCCCATTGATCCATCCCTGGATCCCACAAATCCATCCATTGATCCCATTAATCCATCCCTGGATCTCACAATCCATCTCTGGATCCCATGAATCCATCCAAGGGATCTCACAGTCCATCCCCGTATCCCACAATCCATCCCTGGATCCCACAAATGTATTCACTGATCCCATGAATCAATCCATGGGATCTTATAATCTATCCCTGGATCCCGTGGATCCCACAAATCTGTCCCTGGATCCCATGAATCCATCCATTGATCCCAGTAATTCAACCCTGAATCCCACAAATCCATCCCTGGATCCCACAAATGCATTCACTGATCCCACAAATCCATCCGTGGGATCTCACTAATCCATCCCTGGATGTCATTAATCCATCTGTGAATCCCACAAATCCATTCACTGATCCCATGAATCCATCCGTGGGGTCTCATTAATCCATCTATTGATCCCCCAAATCCATCTGTGGGATCCCCCAAATCCATCCCTGGATCCCCCAAATCCATCTGTGGGATCTCACAGTCCATCCATTGATCCCCCAAATCCATCTGTGGGATCTCACAATCCCTCCCTGGATCCCCCAAATCCATCTGTGGGATCTCACAATCCATCCACTGATCCCCCAAATCCATCTGTGGGATCTCATTAATCC